TTTTTGGAAAATRTCCGCAACTGAMACACCTATAAAYGTTGTTGTTCTGCTCTTATGACGTCATAGMCTTTTCATCACCATATCTCTAGCCGAACACGACATACTCAATAGTACGGGCTCTTGAGATCGTGTGTACATTAAGATGCCAGGCTTCTTTTCGTTTTCTTGACTTTTTAAAGAAAAGCATGGTAAGTCAGATGTTGTTCTAATGTTAATTATTTACAGGGTAAGTAAAATGRAACTTTACGAATGGATTTATAATTCTATTCCTGCTCGGTCGTTTTAATTCTTGATCAAATGCTTTAAATGATTTCGTGGTTGGATGTTTAATTTCTGTCTCGGTATCAACATTATCARRCCGACAWMGTCTCAAGATGTTTGTCTTAATGGTAAAAATTTCGCAGATTCAAATTTTTATTTGGGCATAATCTCTTTTTAACTATAGCTGAATAAATAATTCTACGCTCTAAATATAGCTATGCTAATGATTTAAAAGAGATAAATACGACCAAATAATTAACGCAAATGTCAGGGAAACCAAAGAAAGCGGAGTGAGAATTCATAGAATGGCTCTCAAAAGAAAGCAAATCCACCAGGTAATGTTCTGAATTAGCACGTACAACGAAGATTCAAAAGAAAACAACTTTAAGTAGTGCCTAGTCGAGCAATTAATACTGGCATATACGCCAAAGTGTTTTTCGTGGGTTTTATGAAAGGCTCTTAAAGCTCTGACTCGTCCCCAGTTTAATATCTGCTCTTCAGGTTCTATCGCAATGCATCAAGGGATGATTCAGCTTCAAACTCGGAAAATAGGTTTTAATGTTTTTCCTACGTAAAACAGATGCAGAAAAGTTGCATGCACTTATAAAATATTTTCGAGAAAAAGGAACAAAAGATATGGCAGCCATGTTGGTGCACACATTACAATAGAAGCTGAAAAGAGATCTTTTTGCAAACACTAAAACCATGAAAAAAMTTTAGCAATTAATTTGTGCTAAATTGTACAGAATTATGCGAWTTCCTTCTGCCTGTATTGTCTAATCTACACTGTATTGAGCCATCAATTTAACATATTGGTTAGTACTTTTAGTGCTTCTAGTGTTTGCACTCTATTACACCTAAAAAACCGACCACACGAGCAAATAGAATGCATCGCTAAATGATTAGCATCAAATTTAATTATATGATATGTACAGCCATCAAAAAAAATCGTCTTATTTGACTTCATTTGAAATTCTTTCAGCTGTCAAAGGAGGATGTTTTGTCTAGAGTCACCTAACTTTCGTCTAACAAATACTTTACTACCAACGTGATGTTTATCTAAACTATAATGAAAAGCCAACACTCTTGAGTGGTTAATTGAAACATTCTTCTAACATTATTCGAGTCGAAGTTAGAGACGGCCATTTTGTCAAAGTCTCAGYGAAGAAAGTGCTCAGTTCAAAGGAATAACAGGTAAAAAATAAATGAATAATAACTAAATTTAAACTCTGAAAAAATATATCGATTATCGACAGAAATGCCAGTGACAATCAATTATTCAGGCTAATTTCCAAAGATGTTCAAATAAAGATAATGAAAACAAGAAAATTAAAGTTTCTTTTTTGCTGTAGATATTTTTTTTACTTGAGCTGATTGATATCTACTTGAATCCTAAGCCATTGTCACTCAGTTTGCCATGTTTTCAATTTTTTGGATATTTGGGCTTAGAACAGTTTTTGAATAATAATAATAATAATAATAATAATAATAATAATAATAATAATAATAATAATAATAATAATAATAATAATAATAATAATAATAATAATATTGATATCATTTTAATCATAATAATAATCTTTATCATATAATTATCTATGAAATAACTATATTTCTCCATTATGTAAAATTGATATTTTCACTAGTGAAAATAACACATTCGAGGTTTCTCCATATAGTGGAAGTAAGAAAAAAGGTATTTTTTGCTTTCATATCTAAAGTATATGATAAACAGAATATTACATGGTCGCTTGGAGATACAAATTTTATCATCTCGTGTTGAAAATCTCTCACTCGTTCGCTACGCTCACTCGTGAGAGATCTTTTCAACACTCGAAGATAAATCTCCGCGCGGCCATGTAATATCCTCTATTTATTCAATACGATTCAAATAAACATTATACAATAGAAAAAATCTCTCAAAATTCTTTGATCACAAAATTGAAATSGGTTTTAATCATGCGATTCCTACCGTATAGTGAYCGTTTTTTTCATTGGTTTATTGCTACAAGCTGGTTTCGAATGGTCATCAGAGATGGCGACACTCGTCTTTAACGGTCATTCATTCATTGTAACTTGCCTGACGAGTGTGCCATCTCTGACGACCATACGAAACAGCTTGTAGCAATAAAACAAGGAATCATTCCAGTCTTTCAGTACAATTTTATTTTTTTATTTTATACAATGCTCCTTGCCAAAGTTGAGCACTTTCTTGAAAACATTTTCGATAATTTTAACTGAATAGCATGTGAATAGCTATACACTCTCTTTGAACGACCAGTCTCGTATTAAAGCAACCACATCTCGTATGCGACCACTTTTAAATTTCCCGTTATAATTGTTTCCCATATAAACTCTGTAAAAAAACCCTCTCTCGTAATCGACCATCTCTCGTAAGCGACCACTTTTTCCTGATCCCGAGGTGGTCGCTTACGAGAGAGTTGACTGTATTCCTAACGACACCGCGGACAATGGTTCAAGTTTACTCGCTTCTTTTTGTGATAATTCAATAAAGTACGGCTTTCTTTTAACATTCCGTTGGTATTCCAAGCTTTAACCCACTACCAACTGCACGATAATGCTTTATCGATAATCAATTTACAATTTTCTTGCGTCCAAAGATTGTCATATGCATGCATGTTAAATCGGGCGMGATATTATAATTTTCTTTTCGGATTTCATTCGGCATTTCTTCGGCTTTCCTTTGAGACTGGCAGTTAAAAATTTCCAAGATCGCCCGCTGTGGACTGTAGATAACAGTGTTTTCAATTAGTTATTGCTCAGTCAATCTCTGATATTCTAGTCTTTACCATCGTCTTCTAAATAAATTCATATTGATTTTTGCTATTCGGCTTCTTTTCGGAAATACGGTTCAACAAATGTAAACTGTCTAGTAATAAAGAATCCTTCCGACTTAATGAGATGTCAACAATCTTACTATCTTATCTAGAAAGTTGCCGCCATGTTTATTTGCGTTTCGGCTTTCATTCGGCTTTCTGTCGGATATCTTTCGGCAACCTGTCGGTATACAAAGCTCACGGACTATTTCTGTAAACAGAATAATGTTCTTGAATGAGCTAGAAACGCTTAATGSGGTSTCCATATCCTGAAATGACGTGTGAAGTTCCGCGCCGAAATCGTGAAGATCCGTGATCAGCTCGTTCTAAGCAATTGAATTTATCGATTTTTTTTAGGTATTTTTGTAGCTTCCTTAAAAAAAATTAATTAGTAAAACGCTGGYTATTTTCGTACTGTGGGCTAAAAGCGTGCGTTCATGGAGAACGTGATAACAACTACGTGATCCAGACAGGGCTTTTCTATCTTATTTATGAAGTGTAATCCCCATTATGGGATACATCGTTTGTTGGATGCAAGTGTAAAGTCATCGAGACTTTGTCATTGAGAGCCTTTGTATTTTTAGAGGCCAATGTCAAAGGAAAACACGTATCGGCTTCGGTCTTTTGTTTCGGTTCACTCAGGATAAAAACAAAGCTCACTTCAGTAACCGAACAAGAACTGCAAATATACGCTTATTATATGTACCGAGGGATGAGAAGTTTGGTTACTTCTGAAGACGCGTCGTCGATTTTGAAAAAAAGGTAATGACATTTTGCTTTTATAAATCTTTTGTTTTTTGTAAACCCAAATTTCTTTTTTGGATTTTACATATACTCTATACACCATCCATATTCTAAAAGTAGCACTATAATTTTCATCTAAGTATTGATAGCTGTTTCTRTTGTACCTTTTTATTATTATTTACGATATATGATTTGTATATCTATCATAATAATCTGTTTTATATAGTGGAAGAAAGAAAAAAGCTATTTTTCGACATAATTTGCTTTGATATGTAATTATATGATAAACAGAATATTACATGGTCGCTTGAAGATACGAATTTTATCATCTCGTGTTGGAAATCTCTCACTCGTTCGCTACGTTCACTCGTGAGAGATCGTTTCAACACTCGAAGATAAAAACCGTATCTGCGCTCCCATGTAGTATCCTCTATATATCTTTTGTGCTTCATGCTTTTATTTTTCTATTCCATTGTTTATTTCATTTATCATCTTAATCAGTGTAYGGTTGCCAAAATCTTGACCCGTTACATTACTCTAAAACAGAATAAAACACCATGTTTATCTCTCATATTTCAACGACTGACGCACACTAAAGCACACTTTTAAGGGAAAAGCGACACTTTTGWATTATTTTAAAATARAAGACACGGTCTGTACTGTTTCAGTCGATACTGAATCCAGATACTCAAGGATGTCAGATCGCACTCAACAGGGTTAAAACCCACTTGCAATTTTAGTAGCCTTTCTGCTTGCTTTCTGAAACCGACCGCGTGTACTGTTTTGTTTTTAATCGATAAACTGGCTTAGCAAATCTCATCCTTTATTGCATAATTTGTATGCATGGTTATTATATTTCTCATTTTTTGAGATCATATTCCCCTCAAAAGCATAGAATATGTTTTCCTTCGCCCAATGAAAATCACTTTATAGTGCAAAAAACTCTATATGAAAAGAAATAATAAAAATCTATATGCGCGATTTTTGAAGCGCTATTATCGCGCGACAATCGCCTGAGTTTCGAACATGCTTGAAATTTAGCTGCAAATAAATCGAAAATCGCCGCGATAATCGCAGTGCCGTTTACACGTACGATTTGAGGTGCACCAGAACAAAGTGATAATTTAATTGTGATTTTTTGTCGTAGAAGCGTAATTGACGCTCTGCACTTAGAAATTTGAATCATTGAAGGATTCCACTTATCATTTATGTCATTTATAAATAAACCAAAAAGTAATATATTWAAAGGAAACGCGTCAATTGTTTTTAAAATCACTTGAATTTCCGCAGTCAACAAAAGTAGTATAGAATGCAAACCTATTTGAGTTCAAAAGTGAGTAAATGAGAGAATGAAAGCGATACTGATGTGCAACAGCACGTACATTTTGGAATAAAGACACAAAATAAATATTACATATGTTAGGAAAATTAAAAATTTTGGAATGTTTAAACGGTCTTAAAGATTAAAGGGTTGCCGATTGGTTCAGCTGGAATGATTTGTAACTACAATTATGCCTTATTAAACGCATTTTCTGCTTCGATAATATGATATCGATCCTATGGATRGAAATGGCCTTTTTTAACTCGTAGTACTCCAATTTCGAGTTCTGGTTGCTCTGTGTTAACCTCAAAACCAAGTAACATATTATCTTGTTTTATTAATAGCCCGAGAAAACGCAAGGAATTTGAAAAGAAAGACAATAGAATTGATTTGAAATCTCACACTTTTATTCTCACAATTAGGAATATTTTACGCAAAAMTGAGGCTTGGAGAATAATCCAGTTTCGAATTCGAGAGTGCTCTGTGTTAGCCTCATTTGTGCGCAAAATATTACTAATTGTGAGAATAAAAGTGTGAGATTTCAAAATCAATTTTATTGTCTTTCTTCACAAATTCCATGCGTTTTCACAGGCTATCAATAAAACAAAAGAATATGCTTGGTTTTGAGGCTAACACAGAGCAAACCAGAACTCGAAATTGGAGTATTCGAAACTGGATTATTGCAGACTCGGATATATCAAGAGTGTGAAAAGTGCAACATCAGTGTTCAATCTGACACGGATTGGTAAATGTATACATAAGCAAAACTTCACTTCACTAGGTTTATTACGGTTGAACTGGGCTTATGAATTATTCATAAGCTATCTTCATCCGTTATATTATACAATAAGAAAAACTTGGGCTGCCTGTGTATCTTCAATTTCATCCTACATATCAAGGAAGACATATGTAGAGGATAYTACATGGGCGCGCGGAGATACGGCTTTTATCTTCGAGTGTTGAAAAGACCGAGTGTGAGATTTTCAACACGAGAACATAAAATCTTATTATTTATCATATATATTCTATATGAAAGCAAATTATGTCGTAAAATGCGTTTTTTCTTACTTCCACTATATATAGAAACCTCGAAGGTGGGAAAATAACAACTTTTCGAAATGGAGAAATATAGGTATTTCATAGATAATCATATGATTATTTTCGCCCAAAGTTTGAGAGATCTTGTCATTTTTAACAAATGCGCATTAATTTTCCCGTGAGACAGCTGCTCATATCGCGGATTTTCCCGGAAACGGATTTCGGTATAGCAATGTCATTCTCATAATGCTTTTTGTAGATGCTTATCGCCACAGGGCAGTCAYGGTGTTTTTAACGGCTCTTTTCGCTCAGTGAGAACATTGARTAAGAAATTAAGTGAATTTGAATAAGCTTAGATTATCTGGCTAGGGGTTTTAACGCCTTAAAAAAAAACTTCTACYGGCAACGGACGAGCGAACGGCAATACTCGAGTTTCGCGATCTCTTTTACGCTGTATTAGCCTCAATTGAGTGCAATATATTCAGAAATTTTGATAAAACTCGTGAGATTTCAAACTATTTCCATTGTCTTCRCACAGATCTCTTGCATTTGCACGGGCTRWYACAGAGTAAAAGAATTTATTACATGGTTTTGAGGCTAACACAGCGTAAAAGAGACTAAAAGGGTTTATTGAAAAATTGCTGATCACCAAGACAATATAAGCTTTAAAAAATATACATATTATTGACAAAAATAATTTACTGATCGAGGCCTGACTTTTCAGTGCGCTTTTCGAGGTGTGATAGATACAGAAAAAAAGTAAATCATATATCTTTTTCTTGGATGCAATGAGCTAGTATATTTATAAACTTGCTTGTCTATAAATATAGCCGGATGTTATAGCTATTTAGCAAATTTTAAATGAAAATTTGTAAATGTGCAGAGACACCATTTTGTACAGCTGCAAACACGATGTGAACTGTAGAAGTCCTTTAAAAATATTTATCAAATTCATTTATAATCCATAAAAGGAAACACAGTGGAAAATCATTGCCATGACGGCATCTTTACATGAGCAAGAAATTTGTCCTGACTGATTTGCATACAACTTAAACTTCAATTTTCTCTCAAAAGTAATATGTTATCTTGAAGTTTTTAGCAAAATATGCCTTAGCTTATGTTGAAATTTGATAATCAATATAAAATATTCGTGTCCGACCTTTATGCCTTTAAAACTGTTCGATTGCAGCTCGAAGTTTAAAATGTCAATAAATGGTCTCCCACTCACGTTTTATGTTACTTAAAAGTCTTTTTTATGTTCCTTTTGAGGAACTACAACACTACTTCCATTATTGCAAAGAAATGCAAAAATCCAATCCGAAAACACTTCTCAACAATAACTCCTTTATAAAACAAAGAAAATGATCTCAAAGCTAGAATTGTTGACAAAAACCTTGGACCATATAATTATTTTTCTCCATGAGCCTAACATTGTTCTCCTTTATGTTTTCACAGTTTTCCCCCTTAGCCCCCTTTCATCAATNAAAGACATACATGGGAACAAATACAAATAGCTGGGTCGGATATGCTGATGATATCGCATTATTTGTCCTTAATAAAGACACTCTACAAAAAGCCCTTGACCTACTCGACAAGACTCTAGATCTATTCAACTTAAAGATCAATGCTAAAAAGACCAAATCTATGATTTTCAACTACAAGTATCTGCAGACCACAAATCCTTACCCAAGCTCGATTGTGAAGCTTCACAATGTAGACATCATGAACGTAGAGACCTACAGATACTTGGGAAGCGACATTAGATACGATGAACCAACAACAGGCAATGCAGAAATCACACTTCGTATAAATCTTGCAGAAGCGAAATTTCAAGAACTAAAACCAAAGCTTCTGAACTTTAAAATCAGCCTAACAATACGAATGTTATTTCTAAACACATTTGTAAGAAGCCGACTAACATACGCAGCTCAAACATGGAATTTAAACATCGCCCAAACAAATATAGTTGACAGCTGTTATTATGGCATGCTAAGGAGAATGATCAAGAATGGATTCGCCAGAAAAGATGGAAAACAACACAGAACAACTGATGATGACGATGATGACGACTACCAAAATACCGAATTCAGATATCTCTATACAAACAACGACCTATTACGCATCTGCAAAACAACATCGATAACAGAATATATAACTACACTGCAAGCAAGATATGTAGCTCATATTGCTAGACGATCCAATCTGGATAAATCAAAACAGCTCCTATTCAATGTGGATAGAAGTACGAAAAAAGGAAGACCAACTGAAACTCTTGAACAGAAAGTCCTTAAAGAACTTAACATGACAGCAGACGAGTTCTACAAACAAGCACTGAAAGGAACTTTGTAGATGAGATCCTAAGCTAAGGATCACTCTAAGTCTACCAGAGTAGACACGAGCTAAACAATATATATAGGTTCTTAGATTCACGTAGGCCTTTATTTAACGAGTGTAGGTTCTTAGATTCACGTAGGCCTTCATTTAACGAGTGTAGGTTCTTGGATTCACGTAGGCCTTTTAGATTACCATTTTTACGGATGTAAAAAGCGTCACATTGCCTATTGCATTCCCACTGGTTATGACTATGATGAGTTTTAATCAGACTGCCCTTCGTGCTGGTTTGAGTAGGCTGAAAATCCTCTTCGCTCATTTATTAGTC